AACTGAATCTGACTGCACTGTTCAATGGTTACGATTAATTGGAATGTATGAACCTGACTTTTGTGAAGTGCCTTGAGACGACATGTGTTGTGAATTGGCGCTATATAAATAAACTGAATTGAATTGAGTTGAACAGTAAATATATTAACTGCATGGGTATTTGATATGTATGTCTTGATATTTTCTACTTAATTTTATTGAAAATATATACATAAAAAATTTGTTTTGCATTACCATGCTGTGGTTCTATTTTGCAACAGTTGAATAATATTAAACTTACTTAATAGAGATGATTTAGCTTTAGTTGTAAATTTTACCCACAAGTTCCATGTTTACCAAAAATTAATATATTTAACAATATGTTAAAGGTAAAATTGCTTGTTCTTCGAAATATGCACATTTTCAAAAACGAATCATTTGAACGGCTCTTTGAAGTGAACGGATCCTAAATATTGGTTCCCTTCAAAGAGCCAAAAGTCCCATTAGTAGTTCCAACGTCCGAGGTTAATGGAACGCATCTCATACATGTGATTAGTCCATGTTTGTAGAAGAGAGGTGGAGGAAGAGGAGGAGGAGGTGGAGGAAGAGGTGGAGGAGGTGGAGGAAGAGGAGGAGGAGGTGGAGGAAGAGGAGGAGGAGGTGGAGCAGACAGGACACCACTGCTGCAACGTCGCGAGCGAGGCTGCTGTTACTGCATAGGTTGGATTTTCACGTAAAAGTTTTGCTTTTATCTCTCCACAATTCTTAAATGAAAAAGAAAATCAACGCATGTGTTTCCATTAATAAGTCATTTTGGTGACAAGTTTACTTCATTGAAGGCAATGAATTAAAATATGCAACCGTAACCATAGTTTGCATGTTACAAGAAGTTAGAGATGGGATTTATGGCTCTTTGAAGGGAACGAATCTTCAGTATTCGTTCCCTTCAAAGAGCCGTTCAAATGATCCGTCTTTGAAAATGTGCATAAAGGACTAGTAATTTACCCATAATATCGTGTTAAATATAGAAATATTTGGTAAACCTGGCATATGTGGGTGAAATTTATGACTAAAGCTAAATCATCTGTATTATGTAACATTAATAGTTTTATTTAAAAGGTGCAAAATAGAACCACAGTATGTTCATGCAAAAAATCTCTTTATGTATATATTTTTCATAAAATTAAGTATAACAAATTTTAAAACAAGTATGAAATACCTATTTAGTTCTTTACTAAGTGTTAGTGGTGTGCATAAATATAACTGAGCAATAAGCATGCACGCTGGATGCTCGTATCTTCCGCTCTTTCGGTTTTCGTATTTAATTGCCTAAATAATATAACGTATTTAAAAATTAAATAAATTGAAAAAGTAGCATTATAAGAAAGCAAAGTAGAAAAAATCAAAGAACGGTTTTCACGACAGACTCAAGTCCTCCTAAGGTAAGGAGTAAAGAATCAATTCGTTCGTGAACGTTACATCACTATGAAAGGCAGTCATGTCACAGGGTGATGTCTGTAAACCCATGAGTGGCGTCACACATAAGAGAAGACATTTAGCGATGGCTACACATAATTTCCCTGGTGGTCTAGTGGTTAGGATTCGGCGCTCTCACCGCCGCGGCCCGGGTTCGATTCCCGGTCAGGGAACATTATTTTCTCCTTGTCTCTTCTCCCGCAGAGGGTTTCTGGATTATTGAACGTCCCGCTTGTCGAATGTTTTTTTCCGAACAAACAGCATAAGGAAGCTACATGAAACTCCTTTTTGGTTGCCATGACCAAACCGTGATCACTCGGGGTTTAAAGGAATTATCTTGTCATCTTTCTTTCCAGCACTGTTTTATGAAAGGTTCAGTTTTTATTTATTGACCCTAGACGCTGTTAAACGTCAGACACAACGGCGTGTTCAGAAAAAATCAAAATAAAAAATACCACCTCCTTCGAGCCGGATTCGAACCAGCGACCTAAGGATTCCTGGCAGTAGCCGCTACAGTCCTCCGCTCTACCAACTGAGCTATCGAAGGCGGGATGGTCTGTACTGCCCCTAGTGGGCCATTTCAAACGGCAGAGTTCTGCAATGGGCTGACATTACGTCATTTGAGCTACATTTCATTTCCCTTTGGGATTCTCGAATTAAGCGTTTCTACTATTATTGCCAATAAATGTGCCAGTAAATCACGCAGAAACATGACTTTAAATTTAATTCGTTCTTTATTTCTTTTCCATATTAATCATTCATACTCCAGCAATTATTTTTTGCCATATTTACACTTTTGTTTAATCATGTTTCAATACTTTCAAACCAGCACCCATGTGTCACGTCTTTCCTTCCGCCTCAGGATGCCGCAGTAGGCCAATGATTCAGACTTACTGGTGAGGAGGGCTGCCTTCAGTGGGGATGAGACACGACCGTGGCTTTAAATGACATCATGAATCACACCTGGCCCCAGACGCTGCATGCGGACCTCACCTGCAACTGGAACGAGACGCAGTGAAAGAAACTCTTACAATGCGGTGATTTCCAGGTCGGCGTGCAGCGTCTGAGCCGAAGAGCAAGAAAACAGCGATGATACATGAAGCTGATTCTGAACATGTTTTAAAAAATGTAACTGATCATTAAAACCCAACAGGTCCCTGTTCACAGGTGCGTCCAGCATCAGGACAGGTGATATGCAGACACTAGTCATCCTTTACCTCACAGAACAGCATGGACACACAGCTCTGATGTCAGTTAGAAAAACGGATTACAAGTCACACTCAGATAAAAGTCTACCATGAAATTCCTTTTCCAAAGAAAAGATGCAAATCAGCTTCATTTCTGTACACAACAAAAGACGCTGTATTCAGTAATACTGTCTTTGTAAACATAAGGTAACATGAAAATCAGGCTTAATTAATGCAACATAAATGTACAAAATAAAAAAGGCAATTTATGCTATAATAGTGTCAATAAATGCTATTAAAAGCAAACATGTAGCTACAGGTGATAAAAAACGTAATAAAGATGTTATAGTGGAGGGAGTACCATCATTAGGACAGTCAGCATCAGATAAAAGATGATAAGTACCCAAATACAGCCTGATCTGAGATACTTCTGTACCACACTGATGCGGGTCAGTAACAGAACCTCGAGCAGATGGACTCTGCCTCTTCAGCTGTAAAAAAGTGCATCTACCTCTTCTTCTACAAGTGTTCTCATTGGTCGAGCTCAAAATATGGCAGCCAATCAGAAGCCGTAGACTTGAGGATAAAGACTGTAACTGTCTGCAGATGTTGATGAAAAGCTGCATATGTTGGACCTCAGACGAGGAAGTCAGAATCTGTTTCATGTCATTTTTGATCTTTATGAATTTAACCTGAGATAAATAAAAAAAAACACCAAACTCTCCTAAACAGGTAAATATTTCTCCCTCAGTAAGAGACACACATTTTTATCAGATAAGTATTCACTAAAGGATTTACACTTGTTCAGTTGCCTAATAAGGTAATAATTTATATCAAAATATAAAGGAGAAAAGAAGGTTCATGGGGCGTTTTTAGAAAACTCTGAATTCATGGTTGGAACACCAGAATTCCTTGATTTTGGTGCTGACCCAATACTTCTGGCAATATAGTGTATCTGTAGTAAAAGATCAAACATGACAGGAGTTGAAGTTCTGACATCCCAGCATTCATTAAATGCAGCTGAGTTTCACACTGACTGGATAAGTGTTACTAAAAGAACCATTTGGATCTGGATTTTGCACCAGAACCTCTGCAGCATGTCTCCTTCAAACAGAACACTCTGCTCCACCTGAGGGTTTTCTGGCTGTGAATGCACCGTCAGGTCTGGTTAAATGAAGCATTCAATGACAGCCTGGACAAAACAACAGCATCTACACCGACTGTATGAGCTGTCTAGTATAACTAAAGAACAATAAAAATAAAGTACCTGTGTATCTAAGGTACATTTCTAGCAGTGGCTCAATAATAAGACCCAGAAGCTGCAGCTGCAGTTTGGTCTTCTGGATCTTCACACAACAATCAGAAACAATGAGCTCCAGTAGGAGCCTTTAACTCAAGGTGAAGATGTGAAGAATGACGGATGCTAAATGAGGATGAGAGGAACGATGATAACTGGTTTGCTCCAGCAGCTCCCAGGAAGAGCTGCGGTGCCTCAGAAAGCCCACACGGGGGCGCTCTATCATCACAGCTTAAACGGGTGACGTGAACAAAGCCAGCCTGTCTGTTGGTCCCTCAAGTACCTGAAAGTACCACACAAGTTATTTTACTCTACTGCTTTCCTAAACTACATTCATACACCATCTTTACTCCTCCCGCGGAACCTTTCCAACTCTTCCTCCCTTCCTCTCCTCCTCCTCCATCTCTCCAACTTCTTCCCATCTATTTCCTCCCAGGTTTTGCTGCTTTTTACCATCTTTTTTTTAGTCTTTCATTGAGTAAAGTTAACTTGTTTCTGTCCTAGATGTTAGTATCATTCATTCTCACTCTTCTTATTTAGTACCTAAACCCATGAGCCATTTTTAGCTTCCTCCTCCTCTTCTTCCTCCATCAGATCCCCCACCCCACCCCCTCTTCGTTTAATGCGCTGGTTTAAAAAGAAACGGACATTTGGAGAAACTTGCATTGAAAAGCTGACCCAGCATTGACAGTTATTGTCTCTGAAGGTTTAGCTCTGAAGAACAAGGTCATTGTCCCTCTCCTGAACTCTAAGTGCTGGCAGAGAGTCTTCCTCAGTCCAGGTTCTCCTGTTATTTTCCTGTTGGGCCCACTCTCCTTCCTCACTGATATCTTCTCCTCTTCTTCTCCTCCTTCAGGTCTTTCACTTTTCTACCACTGCATCTTCCTCTGTGATGCCCTGAGCACGGAGCTCTTCTAAGACGTTATCGAGGTGTCCCGGGTCGGGGAAGCCGTGGCCCGTCAGGTTGGAGCCAAACTCCGTCTTATGGTGGACCTTAAAGAGAAGAAGGACGTTCCATCTTTAGTTTCTGGGATCTAAGTAAGATGTTAGCGCATCCAAAGGACTCCGAGCGAGATGTTACCTCATTCCAGATGACGGTGTCGGATTCTCCTGTAGTGCTTGAAGTACCGACGGAGAAGATGAGCCGGCGGTCCCACGCCACCAGAAGCAGTCTCAGTACCTGCAGACGGGTTGGAGAAGCTTCATCACTTCATGGTCATAAAGTTTCACATTAATATGTTACCGTTTATGGCTTATTTACCAAAAACTAAACTAAAATACAGAAGTTGTGATAACATAAGTCCACTTATTCAGCAGCTCCTAGAAGCTATTTCGGCAGCTGGTAGAACCTCCGCCGGCAGCAGTAACTCTCAGCAGTGGTTTTCTGTCTGATTCCATCAGTCTCTCTCATCATATTGAAGGAGTTCTGGTCCATTTTCATTTCCGAGTTGCTTTGGGTCATTGAGGTTTGCAGACATTTGTTTCTGAACAGCATTTCAACCAGTCTGGACTTTGACTGGGCCATTGCAGCACTTTGAGTCTTTTCTGTTTCAGCTTCTCTAATAGAGCTTTGCTGCTGTGTTTGGGATCATGGTTCTGTTGATGACCCAGGTTGGACAGATGGACTTTAGAATACATTGGTCTACAGAGGAGACCGACTCCAAGGTGCCCAGGTTCTGTGGATGCACAACAAGCCCATATCACCAGCCCTCCACCACCGAGCTTGGATGAGGTGTTTGTGCTGATCTGCTGTTTTCTGGCTGTATGTTCAGGGTGGTTCTCCAGCTGGAAGTACCTAGTACTTCCTCCATCCATCTTCCCATCAACTTTGACCAGCTTCCTTGTCCCATCCCCACAGACTGATGCTGCCACCACCGTGTTTCACTGTGGGGATGGTGTGTTCAGGGCGATGTGCTGTTAGTCTTCCACAACACAACATTTTGCATGCAGGCAGAAGCTTCAGTTCCGGTCTCCTCTGATCAGAGCACCTTCTTCCACATGTGTGCCATGTATCAACTTTAAACAGGACATCTTCTGGTTTGTTTCGTCAACATCTGTCTTCTTGCCTCTCTTCCATAAAGCCCAGATGTGTGAAGGATGGAAAACTATTAGTTGTATCCTGCTTTAATCTGAACCAGAACTTTCTCCCCGACCTGTCTGCTTGGTTCCTTGGTCTTCATGATGCTGTTTGTTCTCTAATGTTCTCTAAAGAACCTCTGAGACCTTCATAGAACATCTACAGTTAAACTGATTAAACTTCACACAGCTGGACTTCCATGACCCTTGAAGACATCTGGTTGCCCTGGATTTTATTTAAGGGTTCTGGAGCAGAGGGGGACTGAAGATAAACGCTAACTTTTCAGATTTCTGTTACCTTGCGTCCTTTCTCGCTGTCTGGGAGGTAGCAGTGTCGTGGAAAGCCTCTGGCAGTGAAGGGCTTCCCTGGGTTCGGATGCTCTGGTCCCTGATGAAGAAGCTTCCTGTTAGTTTGCTCTCGGCCCACATTAAAGAACAAACTGCGCTGCTGGTCGGTGCCGTACCTGAATCCCTGGCGGTATGTTGTAGATGATGCGGATGGTTTTGCAGTCGGGATGACCTGGTAGGGAGTGAGGGATGACGTGGTACTCCATCTTCCCAGCTGGCTGGTTGCCTGTCTTCACGCCGTAGATGGTTTTACAGGTGGGACACTGAAGGCTGAGACAGGAAGTTGGATTATTTTCCTGATAGGCTGTGAGGAAACAAGCAGAAGACTTTAATCTGGTCTTGAACCTACCTGCCGTCCTTGTTGCCGTTGTTATACATCGCCACCAGACACTGGAAGTGGTACTGGTGTCCACATTGGGCTAGCCGTCCCACTGACTCCGCCTTGGAAACCGGACCCACGCCCGGACCTTTGTATCCGGATGGTCCCCCCAGTGGCTCCATGCAGATGGTACAGTCCTGGAAGAGACCCGGAAAAAGGAAGTTATTCTTCAACATCTTCCACGTTATCATCATGAAGCTCAGAGGCAGGTCTCACCTCCTCTGGAGGACTTTTTACTTTCTGCAGGTACTTCTTCACCA